GGGGGGGGGGGGGGACACCATTCGGTACCCTCATTATGCACAAATATCTTTTTCCTAATTACTTATATGATAACTATTTTTACACGTGATACTTTATTACAAAAGCAAAAAATAACACGACAAATCCTCCCTAATAGATGAAAAAACTATCATATTTTGATATTGTGCGGAGAAATTGCATGTAATTTCCATTCTCTTACAGATATTTTTCACTATAGTAATCACAGCTATTGAAAGAGATTGAATAGAATAAAAGAGAAGAAATCTAAAAAATTTAAAAATGTTGTGGGACTCATCCCTCCACCCTTTCTAGTTTAAGCTTGGGATCCACACATTTTGTGAAAAACATAGCTTATAATCACATATAAACACTGCTAAATATGCTCCAAGTATCAAGCATATTTTATAACCATCTCTCATCAAACATATTTTTATCACATACTTCATAAAATTCACATCTACTACCCATTTGTTATATACGCATTTAATAAGATCCACAACTTATTAATACTCTAAGCCCGTGTAGAAGCAATTTTATCCCTTTTTTAACAAATTTTTGATAGTTGGCAAGTACGCATGGGTCCCATTGCTGCCACAATTACTACCCTAGAAATAAATTACCAAAAATGTGCTTCTCTCAAGAAGAATAAATTAATTGTTAAAAGGAGCATATAAGTCATTTTGCTTGATCCGATCAATAATTGCAACTAGTATGAAGTTGACACAAACTATAACGATTAAAAAAAAAAAAATACTACAAATTGGATAAAAAGTGTTACGAGACTCGCTGGGTGTTAATTCGACACATCTTCTACCTCCAACATGGGGCTACTAACACCGTCTCAATCTTTAGATAGTTTCAAGAACAATGAGCATAAAAAATTTCTAAATTTATGACATTCATGTTATTGAAATCAATCTATTTATTACAATCAAAATCATTACTTGGAGTCAAAGTGGATCAAATAAAAAATATGCTCCTGAGAAATTTTTACAAAGCGTACCTTGAAACCTTCTTTGTTGCTAACAAAGTATCGACATGACAATTATTTCTTGCAAACCCTGAACAGTAATTTCTATGATTGAACGGTAATTTATGTCTTAAATTAAGGTCTTCATTGAGACCGTCCCTCTGCACATTCTGTTAAAACAATATCTTGTCACTTGTACAGGCACAACAATTGATAGGTAAATTTTTGGCCCTAGATATGATTTTATTTTATTTATTTTCGTGAAAATTACTAATACTTTACTAGTTTCCCTTATTTCCTGATGCACTTTCCAACTGCGAGGTAGCTTCCTCAAACGACAATAACTCTTGAAAGAGCGATGCAAGCTTTGCCTCATTCTCTTCGCGGATATGAGCTGGGACTTTTTCTTGGTAGCCAGACGAACTAGTCATTTTCAACAAGCTATCACGTTGCCTGAAAAACATGTCAAGTTATTACACAGTAAATGAATACAAATTATGGAACTATTTTCTCTCAATGGTTGTGCTACATATATATAATGGTTTATATATACATGATGTGATATATACGTGAATTAGAATTTCTTCTACAAAATAAAGAAGAAAACTTCCTCACTCCTCTTTTGACATATCATATGTATGTAAATCATTACGTAACTCCATTATGTACTAACATTATTCTTCTTTGAATAATAATAATACTAAAAAAAAAGAACTATTGAATTGACTCACTTTTCCATCTCCATCTTTTTCTTGAGCTTTTGGCGTTCAGCTTCTATGTTAATGTTTCCTTGTAGCTTGAGGAATACTGAGAGAGCTTCGTTAACCACATATACCTTACAACTGACCAGAGCATCATCACTCTCGCTTAAAACCTACGAAATTTAAGGAAGAAAATTTTCACAATACTTCCAATAACATCATAAAATCGATGTCAAAACTGAGACATTAATTCAAAACTATAGGTCATAAATACGAATCCAAATACATACCTCCAGAGATGATAATGTTGCTAGTGTAGTAATCTCTAGCTCATGGCTTTTAATGTTATTGCACGCATCATTTAGACGGCAGCGCACATAAGCTGCAAGCCTAGAAGCAGAAATATTTTTCATGTTACTCACAACCAAAATTATGGAACTGTCTATTTTAACACCTTATAAAGCAATTAAGAACCAATAATATTTCTTCTCTGAATAAACCACTCAAAGTACCAGAATCAAGTGGAAAGTGAGGGCATCTAGCCCATATTTCAGTACAAATCCATCTTATTGTTGTGTGACTGGAAGACATGGAGCAAACTTGTATATTTAAGGAAACGATGAACACTAAGTGCATGTTATGCAGACAACACTGGGGAGGTCAGGACACTGTAAGAAACAAGATTTTAACTTTGTCTTCTTCATTAATATCTGATTCTCCCTGCCATACAAACCATATAGGTTCAAAATTATCCAACACATTTATAGCATTGAGCCCATGACGTTTACCTTTCATGTCTCTCCTTTGGTTCCAGAGTAGGCCGAAGAGACCTGAGTGATTTAACCACTGACTCGATCATATCCATCTTCAACTCCACGTTATCATTTGTCCAGCACTGTAAAAAGAGGAATAAGGAGAAGATGGCAACTGAGCTTACATTCCAAACAGAATTAATATAAGAATAGATTATAAATAATAAAAAAAACTGGATAAATGTGAAAAATCACTGCAAAATTCAAGAGTGGAAACAGAATTGTGGAGCACCCAAACAACATTACTACCAGTCACACTAAGCAAGTAGATGAAATTGGATGTCGGGAACTTTGAGCATAAATAGGATTGTTAGTGGTCCATCAGCATTAAATTATTGAGCAGCAGATCAATATTTAACAACATTCTGATTTAATTATGTAGTATCTGAAATTGCCAAACTGGGGATTCTTTTAATGTTATTTCTAACAAAAAATTGGGTCATTTTGTGGTGGTAGTGGCTAGGTCGATGGGGGACATTGACTTACGAATATCACTATCCAGAATTTCCAACATAATATCACAGCAAGACATAGGTGAAGGCACTGAATCATATTTAATTCTATTTGTCCGCAAGATTTGCTTTGCAGACGAGCTAAAAGCACTTTTTCTAGCTTGATCTGCTTTGATACATGCCCCCTTAACTCTTTGCGTTCAGAAATTTATAATCTTGGGCATTAAAAGAACTCTTTCTCTCTTAAATGTTAAAAGACAAACAACTTCCAAACATATATGATTATAGAGATGAAACCAAATAATAATGCCCATTCCAATATGAAGCTGTAAGCTAATGTAACAGATGAGGTTGGGACTAATTTCATTGCTAAACCGACAAAGAAGATGTTTCAAAATCACACGATGTTAATAAATCATGCCCGACAATTGTAGAGTAAAAACTCAATCAAGGAACATAACAATTAGCATTGGAAATCTATTGGAATGCCCAAAAAATAATAATAATAAAAAATAAAAATTCCTAACTGTTTTTTGATATCCTCCCTTAAACTGCATAGAAATGTATCTAGATCTTACCTCAACAGGTGATGGATATTCACATATCACAATTGATTCTTTCCTCATAGAATCTGTTCCGGAAGGAAGACGCTGCCACAGCTCTTCTGTAATGAATGGCATAAACAGATGAAGTAACCGTAAGCCATTATCCAAACAAACCCACAAGGTATCTTGTGCATATCTTTTCGCGGATGCAAAATCTGGATTATTGCTGGCAAAATAGGGCTTGATTATTTCAATGAACACATCGCACAATTGAAACTGCCACCATGAGTATACTGCTGTTGCTGCATCAGAGAACTCGAAAGATTCTAAAGACAACACTGTTTTTGATATGGCTTTGTTCAATGCAGGGTGTATCCAATTGCAGCCAAAAGGCATGACATCTGGAACTATCTTTGTTGGAGGGATGTAATCATCTCCAAGATTACTCATGGCAAACCTTATAGCATTCCACAGCTTGTTACACCATTGACGATAGCCAATCACCCTTTGAACGTCCAGATTTATTTTATCCGACTGAAATGAAATGATGTTAACTTACCAAACTCAAAAAGAGGAAAAACTTTTGCAAAGGAGAAACACAAAGCTATTACCTGAGCTGTGTAGGAAACGAGGGCAAAACGTAGAGCATCTGCACCACATTCAGGTATTCCACTAGGGAAGTCCTTCACCTGCCCCTCTTTTGCAGTTTTCAGTTCATTCGGATCCAAGTTACCCTCCTCCAGCCTTCGGTGAAGACCTTGCAGGGTTATTCCATTTATCACTTCAAGAGGATCAATAACATTTCCCAATGACTTAGACATCTTGCGTCCATGTGCATCACGAATCATTGGGCGCAAATACACCTGCACCAGTTGAAAATGCATCTTAATCATTTGGAAAAGAATAAACCACCAGTTGAACTTACTATCTTAAAAGAGAAGCACCAAAATGATTAACGTCATCCAGATAGGTTTAGCTGCTTTCTGTCAAAACTAACAGAAGCAATGAATCAAACCCATTTTCAACAGTCATACGGTTCATACAGAATAATTTTCACAATATTTTTTTCAAGATTGATAGTAGATATTTTTTTTTTCACAATATTTTTTTTCAAAATTAAGGAAAAAACCGTAACAGTTAACACTCTGACAGTGGAACCATCACTTTTGTACAGCATGGTAAGCATCAGTAAGACATGAAACTTAGAAATGGAAGTTTGAAACGATTAATTTCAACAGTTAAAAAGCTTGATGGCTACCAACGAAGTACAA